ACATCATCAAATACTCGAGTTCTACTCGGGTTTTATTATGTTAATGTCGAGTTTAAAAATTATATACTCGTTCAACCCCTAGTATCAGCCAATATCCAGATTTAAGTATCGGGATCAGATCGGAAGTAAAAAAAAGTGGATCGGTGCATCCCTAGTATATCTTAGATCCTTATATACTGTTTATTTTTATACTTTATATTTTTTCTATTTTTGGGTGTAACTGGGACCTTGAGTACACAATTTTGTTCCACCTCATGTACCACATGTGATGCAAATGACAATAAAGAACCTTGAACTTGAACTTGACATTCTTACACTAAATATTAGCCTAAAAACCCACCAAACCACAGTCAGCATAAATGCGCTATAATAAATGGAACACAGCTAGATTATTGTTTTGCTCAGTAACAACTGAACCACACACAGATAAATGACATTTATTTAACTCTTTCAGCTACTGACTCAACAACACACAAGACTGAGCTTAAATGCTGTTTATTAGCGTCACTGGCACCAACTGCTTTCTCTCACTGCTGTCCAAGAACAGTCGGCGTCATGAGGCTAACGAGGCGCCTAACAACAAGAGACGCGAGCATGAATGGTGCAATAATGAAAGGAAGGAATTATGTGATTACATGTATAATTAGAGGTTGTTGTGATTCCTCCCTGACAGACAAAGCTGAAAGATGCAGTGCTCTGACACTGCGTGACGTGATAATCTGCAGTGACAAAAGCTGGTTATTTTGCGGGTCTGTGTGTGCGTGTGTGTCCATCTGTGTTTCATTCTGTTGGTGTGTGTGTTTGCATATGCTGGACTCGAGGCATGTAAAAGGAACATGATGGAAATAGAATAACATACAGCAAAAGTGTGACACATGCAGTTCATCGAACATTCACTGAGCCAAAAAATATTTTCTGACGGTATTTTAGAAATCTTTGACATTTATTATTAGAATTTCTTGTACGTTTAGTTTATGATTTAGTGTAATTTTAATTACTGGGGCAAAAGAAAATCCGAATGATATAAGATGTCAGAGAGCATCTTCAAATCTAGTATCTCATCCAAAGTTGTAGGTTTATTGAACCAGGCAAATGACTGTGCTCACAAATCACAAGCACCTTCAGATAAAACAAAAACAAAAGAAAGAAATAAACTGTCCAGAGGACTTGACAATTTTGATGGATATTTTACCTGGATTGCTGAGCATGAAGTTTGATACCATCAGGTAAGATGGACTAGGACTAAGCCCATCCATTTGCAACTGGGTACTAGACTTCTTAAGAAACATACCACAGTCTGTGAGAATCCAAAACTTCTCTTCCTCCACTAAAACCCTCAGCACTGGCTCCCCTCAGGGATGTGTGTTGAGCCCTCTCCTGCTCACTCTGCTCACGTATGATTGTGCACCTACTCATCCAGGTTGTCACATTGTAAAGTTTGCAGATGATACAGCGGTAGGATGCATCACAAACAACGAATAATCCAGCTACAGGCAGGAGGTGGAACACCTAGAGAGTTGGTGCAAAGAGAATAACCTTCACATCAATGTGAAGAAAACAAAGGAGATGATCATGGACTTCAGAAGAAACAAACACACCTACAGGTCCTTCTCAAAAATTAGCATATTGTGAAAAAAGTCATTATTTTCCATAATGTAATGATAAAAATGAAACTTTCATATATTTCAGATTCATTGCACAACAACTGAAATATTTCAGGTCTTTAATTGTTTTAATACTGATGATTATGGCATACAGCTCATGAAAACACAAAATGCCTGTCCCAAAAAATTAGCATATTTCATCCCACCAATGAAAGACAAGTGTTTTGAATACAAAAAACGCCAACCTTCAAATAATCATGTTCAGTTATGCACTCAATACTTGGTCGGGAATCCTTTTGCATGAATGACTGCTTCAATGCGGCGTGGCATGGAGGCAATCAGCCTGTGGCACTGCTGAGATGTTATGGAGGCCCAGGATGCTTCGATAGCGGCCTTAAGCTCATCCAGAGTGTTGGGTCTTGCGTCTCTCAACTTTCTCTTCACAATATCCCACAGGTTCTCTATGGGGTTCAGGTCAGGAGAGTTGGCAGGCCAATTGAGCAAAGTAATACCATGGTCAGTAAATATCCTGATGCATGCTCAATAATCCAGGTAGAAAAATCCAAAAAAGTTCAATCTGGTCCTCTAGACATTCCAAAAAACAACATGGTCAAACCATGGTCAGTAAACCATTTACCAGTGGTTTTGGCACTGTGAGCAGGTGCCAGGTCGTGCTGAAAAATGAAATCTTCATCTCCATAAAGCTTTTCAGCAGATGGAAGCATGAAGTGCTCCAAAATCTCCTGATAGCTAGCTGCATTGACCCTGCCCTTGATAAAACACAGTGGACCAACACCAGCAGCTGACATGGCACCCCAGACCATCACTGACTGTGGGTGCTTCACACTGGACTTCTGGCATTTGGGCATTTCCTTCTCCCTAGTCTTCCTCCAGACTCTGGCACCTTGATTTCTGAATGACATGCAAAATTTGCTTTCATCCAAAAAAAGTACTTTGGACCACTGAGCAACAGTCCAGTGCTGCTTCTCTGTAGCCCAGGTCAGGCGCTTCTGCAGCCGTTTCTGGTTCAAAAGTGGCTTGACCTGGGGAATGTGGCACCTGTAGCCCATTTCCTGCACACGCCTGTGCACGGTGGCTCTG